TTGTAATGTTAGTTTTAGAAATTGTAGCACCTTGAATAAATGGTTTTGAAGAATCAGCCAATTCTGCATTTAAATTACTGGCGATATTAATAGCGGATTCGAGGTCCGATAAATTTTTATTATCCTTTTCTCTGTTCAAATGAAACTGTATGGTGCTATTACGAAGGCCTTTGATGAAACTAATCATAGCAGTATTTTTTAGCAAGTCATACACGCCTATTAATTGTTCAGAATTATACACGTCTTTTGCAGTCTCCAGTCCGCTACTTAATATTTCGTTTATCCTAGCTCCAAATATCTCTACTGGTTCATTAGTATCCTGATGTAAGTGCATAAGTTCGGCATTCATACTATGTATATTAAACGATTGAATGTAAATCTTTTTAAGAAGTTCAATCAATTCATCTAATGTTTCAGGCTCTGCACGATTAGACAACACCAATTTGGCATGCCCTTCAATTCTACCTCGAATTAGGAACAACAAGTTCTCACGATCCTCTGGCTTTACTTTTGAATTTATCAATTTGCATTGTTTGATGAAATAAATTAAGGACCCGGATTTTCCGTCAAATTTGGGAATGGAATCTTTTACTAAGTTCAAGGAGAGATAGGATTTAGGAAAACTATTTATTGATGAATTAAACGAGTTTGTAGGTATGGCTTCTGTTGAACGAGATTGATTACTCAATTCCGGTAAAGTTTCGACAGAAGACTCTATTTGTATTGGTGTTGAACTCATTTCCTGAAATTGTGATTCGTTTCCTCGAGGTTCAGAATTAACAACAGCGGTCGTGACTGGACAAGGCAATGTATTACATATTTCAAGTAAATCATCCGGCGTACTTATTGGTGTAGGTAAGAAACTTGATTTTTGCGGCGATGTGTTAACATGAGATTCTATTTGTGTTTGTTCAACAACTATATCTTCAACCTCGAAAGCTTGTAACTTAGTCGAACAAGATCGCAATCTACGCTTACGTTTTGACAAATTCTTAATATTACGTAACATTTTGCAATACAGTATTTCAACTAAACTGTTTCAATCGAAAATAAAACTGCAAAATTGAACGAGTAAACAATAACGAATATTTTTACGTATCTACCGAGTAGATGAAGACTTGATGTAGAAGTTGTAGTCTGGATCACCTTTTAAGACCTCGATGAAGGAAAATCTGGTTGAGTGCATGTGAATTCAGGGAAGTAGCTGCACGGCCACCTGAAGACACCCTCCTCTGGTATTCACCCGTGTTCCAAGGAAAACCGTGCCAAAACCCGAGGAAAGAGAGGCTGCACAAATTCGTCGATGACTCCTTAGATTTCGTGTTCACGAGCCAGCAAAACAGCTTCCAAGATGGTCAATTCTTCAACAATTTCTCCCACGATTTTGAAAGGGATCCCACCGCTGTCACCAATTTTGTTGCGTGGGCCCTCAGGGAATCCTGAGTCTCAAAGTAATTAAAGTTTGAAACACGTTAGTTTTATAGATAATTTTGAATAAAAAGGAAATTATAACGATAATAATAAAGAACAATAAAGATTTAAATTAAAACTTTGAAAACTATATTTAAACTATTTAAATAAACGATTTTTAACTAATTTTAAAGGAAAACAAATTTAATTGATAAAGTAATTTTTATACGTCCTTTCTATTACAACGTTGTCGGTGGAATGGAATGTCTTTTCATTTCCCTTCGTATATCATTTTGTTTAATTACAAAATGTCCTTAGTTACTACTGACCAATCTTATAATTATTAATTTCTAAGATTTAACCTGATTCGTTGATGCGTTTCTTCCCGGTTATTGATAACGAGCGATTTACGTATTTGCAATGATTCTGAGCGTTAGGATAGGAGGCGAAGGCAACTGGCAAATGTTTAAACATTCGTTTCTAAGTGAATATTGATTATTTTATAATCTTGAAATGCATTTATTAAAAGGATCTCTAACAGATTTCCCACTTCTTCAAATCAGTGTCAACTTCACCTTTACCCTCCTTTCCTATTACATGTGTTATTCGATTCAAACTTCGCGCCTGTGAAGCTTATGACATACACCGCTACGTGACATGAGCGGGGACCGCAACAACCCCAAAGTAGTCTCCCCCCTTAACGAAGTAAAAATATAACGAATACCAGGAAATTGATAGTGACGTACTAAAATTTTTTTCTATATCATAAGGATTAATCATGCTTCTATTTTATAACTGAAATGTCGATATAATTCATCGGTATTTCGTAGCTTTGCTTAGGTTCAGGGTTTAAATTCGCGTAATCGATTCCATACGATTATCGAGATTGAAATCTCGAAGTTCGAGTTAGAAAATCGAACGTTCTTAGTGCTGGATGCATGGCGATCTTTACGAGAGCTCTTGCTCGGTGGTGTGTCCGTCGGAGGAAGATCTGCGGGTTTCACTAAATAGGCATTACGAATTTTCCGACTAAAGAAACGATTATCGAGTTATTCGAACGGTGCGTAAAAATTCACTCGTAACTCCTAAGTAGTTGCGAACGAACGAACGAATGTTTTTTCGCGATATCTTTAACGGAGAATTGGTTGCGAGAGACTTCGACAGGCATTGGTCGCCATACGAACGAAAATTCCTCCTTCATCGACCGATTTGACTGATTTTTGAGATCCAGTCACCGAAAACTTCCATCATTCCGTCAATAACCGAGAGCCGACCCGCAGGGTGGCGATCATTTGATAAGGTACGTGTGTTAATTATTTTTAATCATCATTTGTTGAAACTTACGGTACACTCATGGCGGTGGTGTACGTCTGTCACGTGAAAATTTTCATCACTGAATCACAAGTACTTACTATTATACGAACGTAATCTTCTGGACACAAACCAATGTTCAGCAAGATGTTAAGTAACTTTAGACTGATAAATCATAATTTACACCATTTTCCTGCAAAACGTTCCCACATTACGCACAATCATTCCGACGGTTTCTTCTCGTGATCATATTGCATTAACTGACGTGGTCTTTGATTTCTTTAATATACTTTATCTATAACATGTGACGCTAATTGGTTCGAGTAGAAATTAATTAATTGGTATAACACACGCAACCGTCATGTATAGTACAGTTTATTTTCAAACATTATACCATCTTCGTAACATTATGTTTGCGGAGAAGTTTGTATCTTAATGCTACGTTATCTTGAAGTTGCTGGTACCTAACTGGGTCTGATATTTCCTGTACAAACCAGTAAAATCATAATGAATCATGCGGATTTTCTTCAAATTTTCATGTAAAGGTCAAAGGTTTATTTGCATGGTAATGATAATATGGTTGTCAGCATGTTCAAAGTCTACTGTTTGTCTATACTTTTGACAATAATAATGAAAATAACATAATTTCTGTATAACATTGGTGGTATATCGATTTTGTTCACATATGTTTAATAATACATTCATTTATCTTGAGTGTAGAAATGAAATGTAATACATATTATATACTTGTATTTATTGGCAAAATTATTTATTAATGATACAATGTTAAGAACGTTTAGTTATTGACTTAATATTATGTCATTTAGAAACGATCTTTCTTCTTCAATAATTAAATTATCATATTACCAGTATAGAACAACTGGGTAAAAGTATACATATATACATATGTATAAACCTGTAATTATGTAGGTATATTTGATACACTTTATCCTGAAACATTATCTCCATATGTTTTTTGCTTAAATGAAAATTATGATCGAAGTAGGGAATGCTTAATTTACAGACTTTACACACCAATGCCATAATGCACACCTGTGTTTTAGAACGTGTTACACATATGTTATCTGGCATCAGCTTAATGATTTTGATGAATGATGGTAATCAGGAATTTTTTACAGCGTAATATAGATTAAACACAGCATTTCCATGCCCCCAATGAAGACTTGATCTCTGAGTGGCTGGTGCATTACCCCTCCATGTCCAATTGGCTCTCTGTGAACCCTGTATTTCTTGGCCGTCAGATAAGCTTTGTTCCATGAAGTAGACTTGGTGCCACGCAAAGGCTGCCTGATAGTACTTATCTTTCTCGTATAAATAGTGGCCCAAATAGTTAGTTCAGGTTCAGTATTGTGCCGTATTCTTGGTAGACCACAGCTCTTTATTGAATAACAATTTATACCATAAAACAGTGTAATAACTTCATACTTTATTCTTCTTCTACTGTGTGATTGTTTTGATAAAATTATTGCAAAGATAGTTGCTTTACAAAGTATTCAACATTCTCAAATTTTGCTTGAATTACTTTATTCATCTACCAGTTTCATAAAAGCTACGAGAATTACTTTTCCAAATCAGGTAAGTTTTAAAGATTCCTGTGGGAAGTAACTTTTCAAACTTGTCTATTATTTACCATAAATTTTATGTGAACAATTTTTATATATAAATTCTACCTTGGTGTTCTCTTAAGATCAAAAAGAATATAGTTTATCAGATTTGATAAAATGTGATAGGAATATATATATATATATATATATATATATATATCCTAATGGTATAATAATGCAAAGTTTTTGTATATTTCATTATAGGTACTGATTTATAGAAAGTGTATTATGTATATTTGAATAATGTTTCAGTACATATATAAAATGCTAATGAAAAGTTAATACATGTCCTAATATAGATAACATAGTATGTTCTAACATTAATTCTATTTAAAACTATGACATATGTTATGTAAAAGAGTATTATTTCATATAAACTATATTTATTGGCTAATCATACTTTACAGTAACTTATTTTGTCAGTAGTCAATCTAATTAGAAAAACGATATTTTTTATCAATGTATATGCAAAATAAAAAATTTAATATGTGAAAAGTACTAAAGATACAAATACAATTTCTTTATGTAGTTGGTAGAATAGATACAATTATATTTATTAAATATTTTCCTTCTCAAAGCTCTATTTTTAAAAGTAAATATTCAATTCATATCTAATAGGTTAGTCTTCTATGAAGAAGGTATTAGTCCAGATCTATTAGCCAACATTGCATCAACACATTTGTACTCAAATAACAACATCCAAAGATGAATTTTATTTATTTAATTATGGATACTGTAATGATATAAGTTGAAATAATCAAAGTATAATTAACCTTAATATATAAGTTTAAATATGTCCTAATATGAATAATATAATATCATATTTAGATATTTCATGTCATTTGCTGATTATAAAATTAAATTGTAGTATTAAAGATAATTTTTTTCTACAGGGTTCTATCTGCGATAGGCTGGTAGGCCAGTCTATTGGTGGGTGTGTGAATACCTGTGGCAACTGGAAGTTGGCCCTGAACGCAGAGCCCCCGTGGCTTTGCTAGCACCCCCAGAGTGATCTTGTCTTAACCCGCCTTCCCACGACTCACATAATTCTTGTTGACAGCTGCCTCGTACGTAGATGACAGTTAAATTATAAAATTAAACTAAATAACTTTCTTTTAGTTGTGTCTCTATGGAATTACAATGATTGTTTATATTGACGATATTTCAGTAATGTCTAAGTTAACAATTCTATAAATTTTAGTTTGCTGCCTAGAGCCTACAGAGTATCTTCTAAAAACTCAAAACAATCATCATGAAGGTTCACAATCAGGACGAACGTATCCATGTCTTGGACAGTGCGTCAAATGTTATGAGTGTTATCAAAGATATTGCATTGAGTGGACTACAAGAAGAAGCTTTTTATGTACTTGATATTGGAGACATTGTTCATAAACACCAAATTTGGAAAGAAAAAATGCCACGTGTTAGCCCATATTATGGTACGATAATTATAAAGTAGTACAGTTAAGGTACATGTTGTAATATTCTATTATAATTCTTTTTTAAATTTCAGCTGTGAAGTGCAACGATAATTTAGTTGTAATTGAGGTACTGGCTTCTCTCGGTATTGGTTTCGATTGTGCATCAAAAGTGAGTATAATTTAATGCTATGTTATTGATACCAAGCAATGAATATGCGAAGCAAAAGACTTAAGTGGAATTTATTATTATTATTATCATTTATAGACGGAGATTAATAAAGTATTAAGTGTTGGAGTAGATTCATCAAGAATTATATTTGCCAATCCAGCCAAGCCAGCATCCCATATTCGTCATGCTGCTACTGTTGGAGTAGACACCATGACAGTAGACAATGAAAGCGAATTACATAAAATTAAGAAGCTTCATCCTGATGCTAAGGTAATAAACGAACACGTCCTTTTTGTCAGTAGTTGATATTAAACATGATTGTACATATATAATATTGTATATGGCAAGCTTATCTGATTTCTCATTATTTAATTGCAGATTGTCATTAGAATTCGTTGTGATGCAGAAGTCGCTCAGTGTCAGTTGGGCATGAAGTTTGGTTGTGATCCGATATATGAAGCCCCTAATCTTTTACATCTCTCGCGCATGTTAGGACTTAACGTTGTTGGTGTAAGTTTTCATGTTGGCTCTGGTTGTCAAGATCCACCAGTGTTTCATCGAGCTATACGACACGCCAAAACATTGTTTGACTTGGCTACAGATCTTGGTTATAAACCATATTTGTTAGATCTCGGTGGTGGTTACCCAGGAAATAAAGGCACCAATATTGATAAAATTGCTGATGTTGTTAATAAAGCACTTGACGAATATTTCAACAGTAAGTATTTATACTTGTTTAAAATCGTTTGTTCAATTTTAGTTTTCTTTTCAATATTATTCACAAGATAATTTTCAGCCAATGCTGTTCACGTTATTGCTGAACCTGGTCGCTTTTATGTTGCATCTGCATTTACACTCGCTACAAGTATTCACAGCAAACGTTCAGTGCGTGGCAATGAAAATTCACCAAGCGTAATCACACACAATATGTATTATATTAATGATGGCGTTTATGGTTCCTTCAATTGTCTACTTTATGATCATCAACATGTTACACCACTACCTTTAAAGGTATCTATATAATAGCTTATTGTATTGTTTAAGCATAGATAGTAATCCAAAGAATGGTAAATATCAGTTGACCACTATTCACCATTTTATATTAAAATTATTTTAGTTTAACAGCAGAATTGCGGAAAGAAGGTTCGTGTTTAATAATAAATATTTTGGCATTTACAGAAAGGTTATGGAAAGATGGTTCCATCAAGTATTTGGGGACCAACCTGTGATGGTCTGGATCAAGTCGCGGAAAATGTTTTATTACATGAAATGGATCTTGGCGATTGGATAATCTTTGAAAATATGGGAGCGTACACATTACCTGTTGCTTCTCCATTTAACGGATTTCCCGTACCAAAGGTTCATATTGTTGCTGAAGAAAACATTTGGTAAGAAAATATACGTTTCTTGGATCCTTTGTGAACGCACTTTGCAATATTTGTGACCTCCACATGTTAATTTTTTTTACAGGCTTCTGTTGAAAGATGCTTTGCCTTTGACTGAAGACCATTTTGTTATTGGGAATACACCGGCTAATTTACGACTCGGTCTGGATATTAGTGGAACTGATATCAATGCATGGCGTAATCCTAACATAGAATTGACGTCAAATGAAATCTTGGCTGATACTACTAATACATCGTCATTCATCTACGACTATGTTGAGGTTGATCCTCTGAATTAACTGACATTTTACGAATACGACAAATTCATTAAAATGTACTCGGCATTTGTGCAAAGGATTAATTTTTTGTTTTAAATTTTTAACATATGATCATGACATAACTACAATTTAGATACTTTTTTGAGGTGGTACTTTAGTGATTGTCTTTTTTAAAATATGTATCCTTTGTTAGTTTAAAAGCAAAAAACATCGAGTATATTGTGGATCTTCGGCTTTTATTTAAAGCTTTGATAAATACGTGCATTACTAACATTTTATGCCAATGTTAGGAAAAGAAAATTTTTGTATTTATCATTTTCAATTAAATATTAACAACGTGCAAATTATTTCTATTTCGAAACGATATTGATACGCATGCCTGTGTTATTTTTACGTAGCTGAGGGATAAAGTACATAAATTATAATAATGCACAAGTAAATCAGGTTTTCCGATTAGTGTTGAAAAAATAGTTGTAAAAATATTATAGATGTTATCCTGCTGCATGAATTATTGGAATATTTCTATAAGAATCTTCATTATATCTTTTTAGAAACATAGTTACATATATATTTCATAAGGCTTTCATAAACACCGATAAAGTTCTTTCTTCTTCTACGATTTTCGAAGCATCAAAGGTCATCAATTCGTTCGAATTTGATCAATTTCTTTTCGCCTACGTTTACAAAAACTTTCTTCTGCGTCCTCATCCGAGTCTTCCGAACTGTATTCAAATTCTCTTATCGCGCTCGGAACAGTGTTACGCATATTGAATTTTTCATCTTCATCCAATCTTTTCTTCAGTTCGGAACTTCTGCTGCGCGTTTCCGTTTCACTAGATTTGTTAAAAATCCTAACGGAACATCCATAACCTTGACTTGTGGCTTTAAACTCTCCTCACCCATCTCGGGTTTCGAACGTTGACAGCGTGGATTTTTTTTAAACCATAAGCTTTTGTAACATTACAAAAATGTTTATCAAAGTTTTTCGTAAATATTTACGATTTGCACGTTTAACATAGATGCTGATGCAATTTTTTAATCTACATCATATATGTATGAATTAGTGGAAGGTTAGCGACAAAAATTAATCATTGCAATGTTTGCGAGTGTTTTTATGAACAAATTGACGTTCAGGCTTGTAACGGTTTCATGTGATTTTCTTCTAACGTATTTAAATGTAAATACTACTTACACGATTTACATGAAACATACAAAAAAGGTAGTAGATTTGTGAAAGGGCTTAAGTGTTAAATCATTTATACATGTATCAAATATTTGAAAGAGTATTGTCATTTAACAAAGGTTGAAAAGATGAAAAAAAGGAAAAGAATTAAAGAGGAAAAAGAAGAATATAACTACTAACAATGAAGGTGACGTACATGTCCAGCTTATGATCGAAAGTGTGCACAAAATATTTCTATTTATCTGGAACTTTCTTCATTTCGAATGTCGACAAAAAGGAACATGAACTCTGTAGGATTGCTAGGAACTTTAGGGCATTGAGGCAGCTGTCACAGAAAAGAAAGATAATTAGTTGCTTAATTAATTAACTTTTATTGTATTATATGTCAACTATTATTATTGTTAATTAATTATTATTAACGAATGAATATATATAATGAAATATACAAGAACAGTACATTTTTTTCAGATTTTATTCTCCCTCTCTGTTTGTTTACAGTTTACAGGAATCTAATGCATTATTACGTACTACACGATAAATGGGTTTCATAAATCTGCAATGTAAAAATAACGTATAGTTGACTTAAAAATAAAGAATACAACTTGTTGCGCAATAGTGGAGTTCGAGATTAACAGGGGTTTTGTTAGTTTAAGAATTTCTAGACATGAATGCTATCATTAAACACATTGAAATTTGAAGTAACGCGTAAATAAATTGTCGTGTAACGTGTCACGCGGAAGATATACTACAATTAACCATTCTGTACTGAACAGTCTCGCTATCAAAAATAAATACAGAAGTTTTCACATGTGTCACGTAAGAACATTGAACGTGTGCAATTTATGTCAGTTTTTACAATCAAGGTTTGTGTTACATAATTGTGAGATTTTAAATTACAGCGCGTCTTTTTTTTTTAATTTTTTTTCTTCGTAAAAATGAAATTTCATAGATATACAGTTTAGTCGATTTAAATGCATAACGTAGTTATTTCTCTAGCTTGTCCTCTGTAAATTAATCAATAGATCCTACGCCTATCGATTTCATTGTTTTTAAATTCAAAACGGTAGTCTACATATATGACGTTTGCCGCTTTTTAAAAATTTGCCCATAAAGTGGACAGATAGGTCTATATCTTCGTCTGTTTTTAATTTTTTGATTGACGTGATCCGGATTGGCAGATCAAACAATTCGCGGAACGTATGTGGTTCTCACAGAGACAGAATTTGGTCCGGTTTCCATCAGATTTGCGGACAGAAAATTAATGCGGTTCTATGCGATTCGACGAAACATGTACTTAAAAAAATTGATTTGGTTCTATCTGGAATGACCAATAGAAAACACAATACAATAGACATTCGCTTCCCGCGCCACCGTTATCTGCACGAAAGCCACACCCCTTGCTCATACGTATTTCTCACAACGCGCGTACCCTAATCTGTCGCCCAGCACGCTCAGGCCGGAACACATACGGTGTTGCGTTTAACTCGCATATCTCATTACGGTGTTATATCCTGTAATTTCATTTCCTCTTTTCATTGCATATTTTCTCGCCTTGCGAAATGACGACAAGAAATGTCGACGCTAATCACCGATGATCGCGAAATCCATCGCACGGTAAAGTGCTGTATCGACATTTCTCGCCGTGCGTTGCACCTGGAGACTGACAAAATCTCGACCCAATTTTCATACGGTCACCACGGCAATATAAGCACCACGAAACACAACACAAGCCTGCTCTCATATTTCGGCAGTCGCGCTAGACGGTGCTTCGTCTACCTTTTTATTACGCGCAATCGGCAAGCCGAGTAACAGCAAGTATTCCGCCCCTTGAAGGACCTGAAATCCCGACTGAACCAGCCGCAAGCATTAATCATTCATCATCATTCGTATGTTAAGATTTATTTGTATCTTTTATTTATCTCATTGTTAGAATATATCTTTGTTATTATCAAAACGAGAGTGATTTCCTATCCCTCCCGTTCCATATCCCAAATTGCGTACTACATCGGTAAGTTTAGACAGGGCGTGCTTTAGCACCTTAAGAGAGCCAGGACCCGTAATTATAAATAAAGTAACGACTGCAACGCGGGATGTAACAATGGGTGTCAGAAGTGGGATCCTTTTGATCGAATATCGAAGCAGAATTTCTTTGCTTCGTTATGTAATTCGATCACGGCTCGTAAGCTGCCTAAGCTATCCGCTGACGCAGAACGCTTAGTATTTCATCATGTCTATCACACGTTAGATGCTATTCCGGTTTTCGATTCTAGATATGTTCCTATCGAACAATTCCTCCAAACAGTAAATAATCTGTATCCACGAATTCCGAGCGAATATGAGGAACAATTCCTGACCGGGTTAACTTGCAAATTAACTGATCGAGATCGTTATTGCATAAGAGAAGAAAACTGTAAAACCGTGAGCCAATTTCTTTGCATTTTGCGGGATCGGTATTCGCCTTGTCGATCATATCAAGCAATCATGTATGACCTACAACGCGTACATATGTTCCCTAACGAACCACTGACCGAATACGTACACAGAGTCGTTAGGTTAATAGAAGGAGCTACCGCAAGTGCTAGGGACGAAGGGGAAGATTGTTATAATAAAAGAGCCAAAGAATTAAACAGTACGGCTATAAGCTCGTTCATCGCAGGTTTACCTCTGCATTACGCACATCGAGTATCATTCAACCAACCTAATACACTGAATCAGGCAATTAATGAAGCATTCAAAGCTGCAAAATTATTTGATACTGAACATTTCACACATACGCCTTATGCGCAACCACCTCACGCGTATGCACCTTAGGCTCATCCTCCCGCTCCCTATGATGTCAATCGTAGATGAACGGAATATACAGCACACAATTCTTCCTCTTCGGAGAGAGTGGCGCAAGTACCACATTCCACACTTACTATAGGGTGCGAATGCAATTGTCAATGCAAGGGTAGGCGTCGTCGTGATAAGCCTCGGTATGATACGCCAGTAAAACGCGAATCTTCTTCTAACCGTCGCGAGCCTTTAAACTACAAACGTGCCCGCTCTCAGGAGAGAAGCGAAGCGGGCGCGTCAGCCTCGTCGGCCCAGACGAATCGGGCCCTCCATCCGAACCAGAAACCCCCTTTCTCGCACACGCGCTCTGCCCTCGAATTAAGATCAAGGCCAAACAATTGGAAGACGGCGAAGGCGAATTTCTAGTGGACTCTGGCGCTGTATTAAATTTAATCACCATAGAAGCAATGCACCAATCGTCAATAAAGACGAAATTTCCGTAAAAGGCCTCAATGGATGGATTACCACCTTGGGAGCCACTTGTATGAGAGTTAACGGAAGTTGGGCATTATTCTATGTTGTTGACACTCCGGACTTACCAAAGGGAGTATGCGGTTTGATAGGCAGTTCATACCTCCTCCAAGAGGAGGCCGTAGTATCATACCATTATCGCAGTCTCAAAACGGCCAATACATCTCGTTCCATTTTCGAACTCAAAGGAATTAGAAAACGTACTAGCTTTACATCAACGTAATCAAGAAACTCTTCAAGTTTATCTCGCGCAACTTCCAGAACTAGATAGCGAAGAACCAGACCTACCTCCACAGCTCGAGGATAGTTCCGAGAGCAATTTATCTCCTCCTTCTGAGGTAACACTCTTTGCGCACGAGGATAGCGATTTAGGGGAATACGAAGTTTTCACCACGTCGGTTACAGAACGACTAGCTACAATCCGGAAGACGTTGAAGCTCGAACAATTAAGCGACGAATCACGCGCACTAGTCGAACGCTCCGTCCATAATTACGCGGATAGATTTTTCGATCCCAGCGACCCATTGGCAAGAACCGACACGACAGCACATACCATCTTAACTACGGATGAGATTCCCATCTT